TTGAAAAATACCAATTCCTGCCTACCTTCCATCCCACCAGATCTAATGGCGAAAAATTTCTTGGTGAGGAGCGCTGCCAGTCTTTTTGTCGTGGCTGTCGTCCATCAGTCAGGTGATGAACTGTATTTTCGGCATTATCACTGTATTTCCTTGGCTTTGACTGGGTCCATCCCTAAACACTTCGGTACAAGCGTTGACTATAGTCGACAGCCACAGATGAACGCAGGCAGCTGAGCATTAACTTTAGCTGACAGCCGTGATATGACTTTCCTAATTTTAATTTATCAAAATAAAATTGTGAACATTTAAAAATAATGTAATGAAAACATATGTGTTGCCAGGCGTGGTGGCTTACGCCTGTAATCCTAGCACTTTGGGAGGCCGAGGCGTGGGGATTGCTTGAGGTGGGAGTTCGAAACCACGCTGAGCAGAGCGAGACCCCGCTCTACTATATAGAAAGAAAATTAATTGGCCAACTAATTATATAGAAAAAAAAATTAAGCCGGGCATGGTAGCGCATGCCTGTAGTCCCAGCTACTTGGGAGACTGAGGCAGAAGGAGACTTGAGCCCAGGAGTTTGAGGTTGCTGTGAGTTAGGCTGACGCAAGGCCAACTCACTTAGCCTGGGCCAACAAAGCGAGACTCTGTTCAAAAAAAAACCAAAAAACAACACCAAAAACATATGTGTATATGTTACTATTCTGATTTACATTACAAGTAAAGCTGCCTGTAAAGTAAAAACAAGCTTTCCGGTGCCTTTCAAGCTTTCCTCGTCACACAAGAGCAAAATGGATTCGTCCCTCAATGCACAGCGCAAACTATCGTGCGGACTATGAGTGCCGCTGTGGGCAAGGTTTCGTGGCGATGAGCGCTGTACGAAGTGGTTAAACCAAATCTGTGCCAGGAAAATGCATGCTCTGATTGGTCAGCTAGCTCCCTGGACCCAGCAGCAGTGTCCACTGGTAATGGAACACTCCAATGTATGTACTCTTTTTTTTTTTTTTTCGCATATTATGGGGGTACAGATTTTAAGGTTTCAATAAATGCCCATTTCCCCCCCTCTCCAATGTATCTTGAGAGTTAGGAAGACTAATGATGCTCTCCTGCTTCGGCTCCCCAAAGTACTGGGTTACAGGCATGACCAACCTGAACAAGATCTTTCATAGGCACTTTTTGTTAGGTGCACAGAATGATCTAGATCTTCATCCATACCCTCCTCCAATTCCACAGAGTTCCCACCTTTTTGCTCTTGCCTCCCTTTTTTTCCACTAACGAAGAATCAGAATCATGTTCTCAGCTCACAGTTATTGAATTTATACCTTTTATGGGAATTTAACAGTATCTATCAACTTTTCCTAAATAGTCCTCTCCTTTTCTGGCTCTACCTGCCTTCCTTTGGCCGGACCCCACAAGCTTAGCATATTCCCATGAATGACTAGACAGGGATATAAGTGAGGTTGCCAGAAGAAAATATAGAACACCCAGGTGAATTTGAATTTCAAATAAATAATGCTTAATTTTAAGTATAAGTATGGGCTGGGTGCAGTGGCTCATGCTTGTAATCCTAGCACTTTGGGAGGCTAAGGCAGGAGGATTGCTTGAAGCCAGGAGTTTGAGACCAGCCAGGGCAAGAGTGAGACCCTATCTGTATAAAAAATATAAATATTAGCCAGGCATGGCGGTGTGTGTCTGTGGTCCCAGCTACTTGGGAGGCTGAGACAAGAGGATCGCTTGAGCCCAGCAGTTTGATGCTGCAGTGAGCTACGATGCCACTGCACTCCAGCCTGGGAGACAGAGTAAGACCTTGTCTCAACAAAACAAAACAAAACAAAACAAAAACAAAACAAAAATGGGACACTAGAGATGAAAACATTTTTTTTTAATTAAAAATGGGCAAAGGGTCTGAATAAGCATTTCTCCAAAGAAGATATACAAATGGATGATAAGCACGTGAAAAGATATTCAACATCATTGGCCACCAGGGAAATGCAAATCAAAACCAGTATGAGATAACACTTTACACCCACTAAGATGGCTATCAGAAAAATGACAGATAATAAAAAGCATTGGCAAGAATGTGGAGGAATTAGATCTCTTATTCACTGTTGATGGGAGTGTAAATGGTGAAGCAACCTGGGCAAAAGTCTGGCAGTTCCTCAAAAGTTTAAACATAGAGTTACTATATGACCCAACAAATCCACTCCTAAGTATATACCCCAAAGAAATGAAAGCATGTGTCCACAGAAAACCTTGTACATGAATGTGCATAGCAGCATCCTTTGTAGCCAAAAAGTAAAAACAAACCAAATGTCTATCTACTGACTAATGGATAAACAAAATGTCATGTATGCATGCAATGGAATATTTTTTGGCAATAAAAAGAAATGAAATATTGATACACGCTCCATACAAGGTTCAACATGGATGAACCTTGAAAACATTGCGTTAAATGAAAGAAGCAGTCATAAAAGGCCACATATTGTATATTTCCATTTATATGAAATGGCCAGAAAAGGCAAATCTATAGGAACAGAAAGTATAGATCAGTGGTTGTCTAGGACTGAGGGCCTGGGGAAGAATGGAGATTGACTGCCAGTGGATTCAGAGTTTCTTCTGGGGGTGATGAAAATGTTCCAAAATTGCTTGTGGTGTTGGTAGCACACCTTTGTGAATAGTCTAAGAACAATTGACTTGTACACTTTATTTACTCATTTATTTTTGAGACAGGGTCTCACTGTATCACCCAGGCTGGTCTCAAACTTCTAGGTTCAAGTGAGAGTCCTGCCTCAGCCTCCTTAGTAGCTAGGGTTACAGATGTGAGCCACTGTGCCTGGCTGAATCATACACTTTAAATGGGTGAATCATATATGAAACAAACACAGATTGCTGGGTCTTGCCCTCAGAATTCCTTAATTTGTAGGTCTAGGGTGACATCTGAGAATTTTGCATTTTTAACAAGTTCCTGGGTGATGCCTCTGCCACTCTAGAGATTCTACTTTGAGAACCACTGGTTTAAGGCCCTCTGGTAAAGGATGGGCAGGGAGGCAGGATGAGGTGTGGTGGTCATAGGTGAGTGGCAAGCAGCCCTCGGTGGAGCACTAGAACTAATGATGTTAGCTGTGAGAACAGGAGGATAACCGTCCACCCATCTTTCTCCACCCTTTTCTTTTTTTCAGTTAAGTCTCTAAAAGATACTATAGAAAATACTTTAGAAGATCATGGTCTGACCTGAAGGTTGAGATGAAGAAAATGCTACTTTTCCATAAGGAACCACTAAGGCTTTGTTATCCATTAATTTACCTAAAAGTCTTTTGAATATTTTTTTCATCCCGGGTCTCTACTTTTGGCTTGCAGGTTGTTCTGTTGAATCTGAGGGGTGGAATAAGGTCAGTGTGGGCAGTAAGCAGCCTGTGTGTCACGACACCCTTTCTGGGCCAGAGGAAGAAGGGAGAATGGTAACCACTAGCTGGAGAAGGCTCCTTAGTCACAGCCTTCTTTTCTGAGCAGCTCAGATTCGGCTTCAGACGTCTTCTCAATATGGCTCTCCAGACTGCTAGTAACAACCTGTGAGAGTCGGCATGGGAAACAGAACTTGACTGACATCCTGGGATCAGGGGCTCTTGAGGAAACTTTGATCTCATTAGTCTGGTTAACTCTGGTTAACTCTAAAGTTTAGCAATGCTACCCTTTTTTGTCATGATCCTCTTCCTTGTATATAAGATATTTGAATTGTTTCCAGGTTTTGGCAATTATGAAAAAGGCTCTATCCCATTTATGTCTTGATTTGTATGAACACTGGTTTTCAATTTGCTTGGAGAAATTCCTAAGACTGGGATTGCTAGATCATATGGGATATGTATGTTGACTTTATAACTGCCAAACTGTTTTCCAAAGTTAGGAACCATTTTGCATTCCCACCAGCAATGTATAAGAGTTCCAGTTGCTCTACATCCTTGTCAGAACTCAGTATTGTCAGTTTTTGTTTTGTTTTAACCATTCTAATAAATGTGTAGTGGAATACAAACTCAAGGGGACAGAGGTCTGTGGGCGCTGACCACTTCTGGGCTTCTGTGACATTGGCTGTGTGGCTGGGGTACTTGAGAATAAAGGCCCGCCGCTGGGTCAGACGTTTCGGATGAGTTGGAGCAAGCACCTAGACCACAATAGGTGGTGGGAAGACACTGTGGAAGGCCTAAGTTTTGGACTGCCAATGTGGAGTTCTCCTCTGTGCAACTGTGTCACCCAATCAAGCAATTAGGATTTTTTTTATTGGTGGATGGATACTCTGCTCTGCAGTTTTAATATGCAAAATTTAATTTAGTAGGGGCCAGGACCCTCAGATGTTTAAATCTTTGTATGTGACGTCTTATCCATGACATATGATGTGCAACAGTTTCTTCGGCTTGAAATTTCTAGTATTCCCCTGAATAACTTTCCTCAGCTCCCTAGACAGAGGCTTCCTCAGTAACTGTGCTGCAACAGACTCCAAGGTTATCATATACCCCAAGCGTGGCCAAATATGGGCTCAAGGGGACAGAAGTCTGTGGGCGGTGTCCTCTTCTGGGCTGCTCACAGGGAAAACTAATTTCTCTTTCCTGCCTGTGTGACCGTCTGTAGCAAATCCTGGGACAACAAGGGGTTCTTTGTTACTGAATTATCTAAATTAAAAAATCAGGGAGGAAAAAAATCTTAGAGAAAATTCTAGCTGATGCCCCTAGCTTACAGTACAATGTAAAGATCTTAATTTAAAAAGCCTTTAAGAAACGCAAGTATAGTAAACTGCAAGTATAGTAAAACATGAATTCCATTAATTTTGCGGAATTGAACCCAACCGAACAGACGTGAGCTGGCGGTGCAGCTCAGACAAGTACCTAACTCAACAGAACGGAAGGAAACCATCGGAGTCGCGTAAGGGCAGTCGGGTCACTACAGACGAGCACCCACGAGCTGCTCGCTCGCGCAGGCGCACAGCCGTGCGCGGGCGGGGCCGACGGGCGAGGGAGGAGAAGTTCTCCAGGCGCCCCGCTCCGCTCTGCTTCAGTTCCCTTCATCGCCGATAGGGGCGGCCGCGGCCTCCGCAGCGGCAACAGCCGGGAAGCTGAGCGGCCCGCGTTTCCAGCCGGGCCATTTTCTCCGCCGGGCCCCAGCATGGCTGCCCCCAGGGCTGCGGGCCGTGCAGCTGCAGCACTCTGGCTTTCCTGACATCCCCTGGCTTCTGTGCTTTCCTTGCCTTCCCCGGGCCACCCCAGCAGACATGTTTGCCAAGGCCTTTCGGGTCAAGTCCAACACGGCCATCAAGGGGTCGGACAGGTGAGGGAGGGAACGGGCCTGCTTAGGCTGGGATCCAGTCTTAGCTGGACTTGATCAGCAACCTGGAGCGGAGGCTGAGGGGTACAGCCAGAGAAGGAACCTAAGGGTGAAAGGGTGTGTGTGTGTGTGTGTGTGTGTGTGTGTGTGTGTGTGTGTGTGTGTGTGTGTGTGAGGGCTAGACACATTTTAAGGGTGAGTATGGAGAGAGGGGCCCGATTTACCTCCCAGGCTGTCTTTTGGATATTCTAGTGAGTTTAAAAGAAAACATAATTCAGGCAGCGTTTCCTGACTGTAGACTAAGGTGTTGTGAAGGCTGCAAAAAAAAAAAAAAAAAGGAATACAGGTTCCTTGCCCTCTAAAGAGCTTAGAGCTCCTTGGGCGAGATCAGACGGGGTACCCAGAATTAAAAGTATATAAGAAAAAGTGTCTGGTGATTAATTCTGGTAGGAGAGACAGCTGGAAGCTGAGATGGAAGGGAATACGGCATCTGTGGTAAGGAGAACTGTATCTGTGCAGATACCACCTTGGGAATTTTGGAACTAGTGTTCTCTAATTGTCATTCTTGGTGTTATGGTATAGCCACTTAATCATAAGCTGACAGAATTGCCAAGCATATATGAGAAAGGAGTGGGTCTGAGGGCCAGGAATGGAGTCTGGAAGGCAGGGCTGAGTTTTCGGTGGCAGGAAAACTTGGGTTGCTCTCTGGGCCTCAGTTTTCCCATCCACAAAACGGAAAGACATGTCTCAGGATCGTGTGAAAAGAGATGTCAAGACACAGGATGAGAAAGAGAATAAGATGTTCTGGAAGAGTGTGTGAGACTAGGGCATCATAAACCAGATAGTGTTTCCTTGGCCCTCATGATTTTATAGTGAGTCCTTCTGAGTTCTTGAAATTTACTGAAGTCCATCCAGGCAGCATTCATGGTGCTGGTGTGCTTTCCGCAGGAGAAAGCTTCGGGCTGATGTGGCAGCTGCTTTCCCCACCCTTGGAACTGATCAGGTCTCTGAGTTAGTACCTGGAAAGGAGGAACTCAACATTCTGAAGTTGTATGCTCACAGAGGGGATGCAGTGACTGTGTACGTGAGTGGTGGTAACCCCATCCTATTTGAACTGGAGAAAAATCTGTATCCGACAGGTATGACAACAGGATGGAGATGGCCATTACTATAATCCTTGCCTAACATCTGCTTCTTTCTTTTTCTTCCATTAACTTTCCTCCAAACAAACACAGGATCTCTCGATACCATCCCTAAGGATCTTTGTAGATCTAGTGTTGCTGGATTTGGGTTTTTCAGAATCAGAAACGGCTATAGGAGAAAGAAAAAAAGGGCTAACACAGAAAGAGAGGATGGTTGCAAAGGGAAGTACTGAGATGAAGGAACAATGGCTGAGGAGTTTAAAGTGGGCTAACTAGGGATAGAGCAGAAATCTTGAAAAGGATGGAATTTCAGAGCATGTAAAAAACGTTTCTAAAAACAATTTATAGCAGGATTTTCCTAAGATACTGAAGAGAGATACTGTGATAGGAAAGAAGCTGGTTTAATTAAGCTCCATACCCAGCTGTCTTTGTGATACACTTCAATCACATGTCTCACAGGGATTCATTTAGGCTCTGACTGGCTCTCTAGGATTCTTTGCTTTCTCTTTGTCATAAATCTCAGGGACTCAGTCTCCTTTTCTCATTTCCATAGCTGTTGACACCTACTTTGTCACTTGGGGCTTTTTGTCCCCCAGGGTTGGCTGCAGCAGTGCAATGCTGTCCTCTTAGGCCACTCCTGCCCCTACCCACCCCCTTCCCTGCTATACCTGAAGACAAACACAGACCTTCTTTGAGCTAAGTGTTTTATTGCTAATCACTGTGAAGCATAGGGAATAAAAATGATAAACATGGGAAAGTTTCAAAATTTCTTACAGGCTGGTTTGCTCTTCTTAGGTTACTTGCTTCTGAATCCATAATTGGAAGCCTCCTTGGTTCTGTGCCCCTACTTTTATCCACTGTGACCATTTTCTGCTACTGTAATCCAGGTGCCTCCAAGTCTCAAATGATACTTGGTTTCTTAGGTCTTTGCCTTCCTCCAGAATGAAACCTCTTTGGGCATCTCCTCTAGCTTCGAGTTGAGTTTCTTTTCTGTATTCTAATTCAACCTTCTCTCTAGCTTTGAGTTGAGTTTCTTCTCTGTATTCTAATTAAAGTGACTGTAATGTGAAGCTTTGTCAATTCCTTAGGGGATTGACTTTTTGGTAGTAAGTGTTTTCTGGGTCTCTTTTTTGTACAGTGTACGCGCTGTGGTCTTATCCTGATCTTCTACCAACCTTCACAACATGGCCTCTGGTACTTGAAAAACTGGTCGGAGGAGCAGGTAAGAGGATTTTCCTATGTTCTGGCTATCAGCTGAAATCTACTTAGTACCAGCCTACTGATTTAATACATTTACACATTTCCTGTGTTCATATGGTTGAAAAATGGAATTTTTTCCACTGTGTGCGTTACATCTCTCACTTGGCTGGCTCCATGAGCTCTCTGAGCCTCTCTGACCCTGTTGTAGGGCTTTAAATAAGTAAGTACCTTGTGAACTGCCCTATACTATACTTTAAGTCAATAAGCTGAATTTAGGAGATCAGGACAAGATAGATTGTGGTATAGGACACTCGGTCTGGTGCGTCTGTTTGACGTCTAGTCACCCCTCTGCAAAGGGAGAAGATCTCATACTCAAGTTGTCCTTTTTCACTTTTATTGTGAATAACATACATGTTTCTTTGTCAGGTGAGTGAGTAAATGATGAACTAAAACATGGGATTTGATGGAGGCAGAATGTAGGTTGTGATGCTTTTGTTTTGTTTGTTGCAGATTTGATGCTGCCGGGACTAGTTGTGCCCCCTGCTGGTCTGCCGCAGGTACAGAAAGGGGACCTCTGTGCCATTGCCTTGGTGGGGAACAGGTACTGTGCCAGGCGGCTGTGCCTTTTCAGGGGGGAGAAACTTAGGTAAAAGAGGGTTGAAGGGGAATGACAACTTCTAAAGCATATGAACAAAAGATTGAAAGAAAAAATAGATTCTTCTGGCTAGGTGTGTTGGTTCATACCTGTAATCCCAACACTTTGGGAGGGTAAGGCAGGAGGATTGCTAGAGGCCAGGAGTTTGAGACCAGCCTGGGCAACATAGTGAGACCCCATCTCTATAAAAAATTAAAAAAATTAACTGGTATGGTGGCACATGGCTGTGTTCTCAGCTACTCAGGAGGCTGAGGCAAGAGGATCCCTTGAGTCTAGGACTTGGAGGCTACAGTGAGCTATGATTGTGCCACTGCACTCTAGCCTGGGTGACAGAGTAAGACTCACTCTGTCTCAAAAAAACCCAAAAGGTTCTTTTGAAAAAAGCAGAAAGTGGGCCATTGGGGGAATTGCAGTGAAGCCTGAGCCTGTTGGGAAGGGTCCATGCATCCAGGCTGAATGTATTTGCTGTGGCTACTGCTGCTTTTTTGGTTTTAATATTTTTTAAAAATAATTTTAGATTTACAGATGAATTGCAAAGATAGTAGAGTTCTGATTTACTTTTTTTTTTTTTTTTTGAGACAGAGTCTCACTGTGTTGCTCAGGCTAGAGTGCTGTGGCGTCAGCCTAGCTCACAGTAACCTCAGACTCCTGGGCTAAAGCAATCCTTCTGCCTCAGCCTCCTAAGTAGCTGGGACTACAGGCATGCACCACCATGCTAGACTAATTTTTTCTATATATATATATTTTTTAAATTTTATTTTTTGAGACAGAGTCTCGCTTTGTTGCCCAGGCTAGAGTGAGTGCCATGGTGGCAGCCTAGCTCACAGCAACCTCAAACTCCTGGGCTCAAGCAATCCTTCTGCCTCAGCCTCCTGAGTAGCTGGGATTACAGGCATGCGCCACCATGCCCGGCTATCTATAGACATATTTTTAGTTGCCCAATTAATTTCTTTCTGTTTTTAGCAGAGACAGGGTTTCGCTCTTGCTCAGGCTGGTTTCGAACTCCTGACCTTGAGCGATCTGCCCGCCTTAGCCTCCCAGAGTGCCAGGATTACAGGTGTGAGCCACCGCGCCCGGCCCCGATTTACTCTTTACCCCAGCTTCCTCAAATGGTAACATCTCACATAATCACAATATGGTTATAACAACTAAAGAATTAGCATTGGTACAATACTGTCAACTAAACTACGGACTTTATTTGTATTTCCCCAATTTTCCACTAATGTCTTTTTTTCATTCAAGGATCCGGTCTAGGATACCACATTGCATTTAGCTGTCGTGTCTTCTTAGTCTCCTTCTGCCTGTGACACTTACTTGGTCTTCCCTTGTCTTTCATCACCTTCATACTTTCCCCTATCATCCACATCAGCAGCCTCATCTTTTTAATTGTTTTTAATAGCTTTATTGAGATGTAGTTTATATACCATAAAATTCACCTTTTAAAAATGTGTATTTCAGTTTTTATAGAGTTGTTCAACCATCATGCCCCTGCTTCTTTTTAAAAATAAATTAGGAAGTAATTGTCTGAACAACTTTTAAAAAATCAAAAGCCCCCTCACCCCACAATTCTTTTCCCCTAGAAGTACCCGTTATCATTTTGATGTGTATCCTTGCTGCCCCTCTTGAATGCATAGATACAGATGTATATGAAAAATATGTGGTTTGGGGTACGTGTGTTTAAAAATATATAAAGAACACTGTGCATGTATTGTTTTTTTCACTTAATATAATATGGCCATTTTTCATGTCAGCACACACAGATCTGCTGAATCTTTTACTTGCTGCGTAGTAATGGAAGAAGTCCCCTCCCGATGGACACTGAGGTTGCCTCCAATTTGTCTGTATTACAAACAATACCTTATTGATGCCTCTAGGGCTACCAGTGCCAATATTTTTCTAAAGTAGATGCTAAAATGCAGAACTGGTGGGTCGAAAAGCATGTGCATTTTCTGTTTTTCTACAAAAAAGCTGTGTCAGTTTTCACTCCTGCCTACAGCGTATGTGGGGCCTGTTTCCCTGCACCCTCACCAACACCGGATATAATGGATCATTTTCATTTGTGTCATCCCAGTGAGTGAAAAATGAGATCTCATTACTCTAATCATTGCTTCTTTGAGAGAGAAGAAGAGAGAGACTGTAGGCATAAAAGGGGTCAGTGTTTAAAGATCTTGTTTTTGCTACTCATATTCTTCTGTTTTCCTTGAACCTTTTGGAAACAAGCACATAGAATCTTTTCTTGTTTCCGTATAACAGAAATTACAGTTGAAAAGAATGGTGACATCATTATTTTTCCCCCTGTATTCTATCCAAGATAGGAGGAAACTACATTAATGAATATTTGGCGTATTCAATTTAGCCTTTAAAGCATAGCTGGGGATGGTTTGTGGCAGGGGTGAGTTTATGAGGGGTGGGAGGTTGTTAAAAATACAAGTCATGTTCAAGACGGGAGTTCTCAAGCCATTGACCTTTGCAAGGAAAAAAAATTCTTTAAAAAACGCTTTTTAGAAATGGGAAAGAAGCCAGATTTAAAATGGCTATGATAGGAACTGACCTATAGGTGCAGTAAATGGAGCCACCAGATTTAGTAAAAAAGTTTTTTGTTTTTTTTTTTACTACACTTGAGAACTCTGCCCTTGAATTTTCTCCCTTGAACCCAGGCTACGTTGCCAGTCCTGTGTATCCCCCACTGTCACCCAGCTGGCCCCCTATCCCACAGGCAATATGTGACCAATGCTTGAGTAACACTAGGTTGACAATTTCTCATTTGGGCTTTGGGAGTTTTTGTAGCTACTATCAATGTGGTTGTTTTTGATATCCTGGAAGTACCCAGCTCTTAGATACATAGTTATACAGGGCAAGCACTGTCATGAGGAGCCAGCTCAGAAGGAACCTCTCTGGCTGTCCCCACTGTTTGTCTCTCCTCTCTTCCCTATGGCATCCCTCAACCCCAAGCATGTGAATTGCTTCCCCTCTGAACTTCCTTGTAGGATGGCTATGACTTCTTTAAGGGAGAGGAGATAATTTATATTTTTGAAATTAAAGGGAATTATAAATATCCTTCCAAGTCCTGCCTGGGTTTAATTCATAATAGTAATAAAACAAAGGTAGTGATAACCTCAGCAGAGGAGTTATTTATATAGAAGAGTAATGTTTGTTTAAAGGATTTTTGAAAGTTATACTTACAGGTAATCTGAAGAAAACTGAGACTGGACTGAGTTTAGTTTTACGATACAAGAGGATGTTCACGTTGGTAGCTGTGGTGTGTTTGCCACGCATGCGGAAAGATGGCCTTCACATGTGCTTTTCTGGTAGACTTTCCCTGACCCTGGTCTCTGGCTTCCTTCTTAGAGCCCCTGTAGCAATTGGAGTTGCTGCCATGTCCACAGCTGAGATGCTGACTTCAGGCCTGAAGGGAAGGGGCTTCTCAGTGCTCCACACTTACCAGGACCATCTGTGGTGGGTACAGCGTTTCTTCTGTTGATGGGTGCAGAGAGCACGGGGCTGGAGATTCAGAAATGGAAGTGTCGGTCCCAGCCACGTCCTTAGGCAAGTTGCGGACCCCAGACTTTCATTTCCTTGCCAAATATGGAGAAAATAATTTTATTTTTTCCTGTTTGGACAAGAAATGAGACAGAACTTTGATTGTTTTTGGGGTGAATTACAGAATCCTAGACCTGAAAGAAGGCCTTAGGGATTGTCTACTCTGCCCCTGAGTACGGTGATATTCAATTTTTTATAGTTCTGGTCAGTCTGCCCTTAGCTACCATGCACACTTTAGGCATCATCTGGTCCCGTGGTGAGGACTTCTGAATCCAGATCAAAGCAGATACAGCCTCAGGCACCAGAGTGCTAGCCAATTACTTTTATGTTATTCAGATTTCACATTTCAGACTCCTCCTCACTATGGAAGTAACACTTTCTGACCATGACAGTTGCTTTCTTGAGCCAGATACCAGTTCATTTCCAGTTATTTTCTTGTCATTTTACCAAAACAATAACCAGTGCTTTCCTCGAAAGCCAAGTACCTGGTCTTTTAGCCAAGCGTTGTGACCTAGACAGAGCCATCCTTATGTTTTCTAGCCCAGTCTCGGAGTTATTCATTTTACAAGGGTTGTCCAAGCACTACCTCATTAGCCTAATTTTTTAGCAGATACTTGAGGGCTGAGGGCTGGTGTTCCTCTAGCACCGTGTGGATTGTCAGTCCAGGCAATAGCAATCATGGTCCTGTTGTCTAAGTTGTTTTGTCAACAGCTGCCCCACACCTTAAAAATGTTTATGGTATTTACCTGATCAGAATAGCCTAGCCATACACTTTGGCCTTACTGTTAAAAATACAAATAAGCCTTGCTATAGCTATCACTTAAAACGTAGTTTGATCTACATGTCTGTGGCTAAGATAAAGCTTTTTCCCTCTCTGCGTGCTCTGCTATGTGGCATCGCTGTTTTTCCTGTCTTCCTAAGGCCTAGTGGCATAAAACCTTGGTAATCTGTACTCTCCAAGTTAGACTGCCTTGTATTTAACACAGAAGCCACTGGTTTTGCAGTCCCTGAGCAGTCCAGGTATTCGTGTGTTGTTCCATGCACAGGAGCCCTGGGTTTGTCTTTCACCAAACTGGTACTACAGATGCATTTATGATCTTAATGTTATTTAATTCAAAATGGTTTTATTATTAACTTATATGAAGGGAACATTTTTGGGGCTTACCTTAAGCTACTTTTTCTTTAATCTTTCTTTGTCTTGGAATGCCTATGATTATCTTTTTAAGGAGAAAGCAAGACTTACTGTCCTCATTTCAGAAATGAGGAAACTGAGGCATGGAATTTTCTAGGCCCAGAACTGAAAATAGGATTGAGGTGGGAGCACAGGCTCTCTGCTCTTCCCTGGACATTCCTGCCTGTCTCTGAATTCCCTGCTGACTCTTCCCTGACCAGGGTCGGAGAGTGTTGTGGCTGCTGCTTGGTGTTTCTGACATGAGATTTTTCCAGGCGATCTGGAGACAAGTCCTCTCCACCTTCCATTGCTCCACTGGCCCTGGATCCTGCAGACCTCAGTGAAGAGAAGGAGTCTGTCCAGGTGAACCCTGCCTTGCAGGGAGACATGGGGCGCCTGACCCTGGAGGGAGAGGAGGAGGAGAATGGGGAGCTTCACCAGGCGAGTGGGGAGAAGGCCCTCTCAGAAGCCTCAGAAGATACCAGCACTGGGGGCCCGAACCAAGACTCCACAGACAGCAAAACCCTTCAAGGTAGAACTCTGGGAGAAGGGCCCATCTCCCCTCCTCTCAATTTAGGAGCTGAATATGCTCTACCTCGCGTCTGATTAGAATGGCACCGAAGCTCCAGGAGAGGAGGGAAAAGTCCGTATTTCTATGAGGGTGGTGCAGCAGCCCTTTGCTGTCCTGGAGTCCTTTCCACATAAGTCATGTCTCCTGGGGTGCCAATCTGCCCTGGCATTTGGACTATTCCCAGCTACAGAGCCCTCTAGGGCTTGGTTTCTTCTGGCTCTGATATGGGTGAATGCCCCTGGCTTGGTGGGTCTTAGTGGCTTGACTCCTCTGGGGTCACCTCTCTTTGAAGGCTCAGTGCTCAAAAGAGTGTGGGAGCTTTGGTACCTGGGAATGGGCTCCTTTTCAGGGCCAAGGGGATGAGGGGGGACAGAGCTGGGGAGGTCGTTTTCTTGTACTGCAGCAGGCATTCTGTACCCCTTAGGAAGGATGTGGTTCTTGTCTTTTCCTTGCAGAGCAAATGGATGAATTATTACAGCGATGTTTCTTGCATGCTTTGAAGTGCCGAGTCAAAAAAGCTGACCTCCCTTTACTCACCAGCACTTTCCTTGGCAGCCACATGTTCTCCTGCTGGTATGGAAGGCGAAAGGCCAGGGATTGGGTCTCGCTCCTGTGTCTTGGCAGTAGGATAGGACAGGGCCCATAGGAGGCTGGTTGAGGGACGTGCTGTACAAAGAGAGGAGTAGGGGGTTGATCTGGCAAACTAATTAGGTCCTGGGTTTTAAACACGTAAACTTTAGTTAGTGGAAGGCTGTTGAGGAAATGGAAGGTTAAAAGTGTCAAGATTCTCTGAACACTGCCTCTGCTGTGGTGGTCCTAGGCTGTCTCTGATGAATCAGGCAGCACGTCTGGTACGGGAAGCGTCCCAGGGGCAGCCTCTCTGTCAGGAGGCTTCTTTGGGAATGTTCAACACCCTCGCACTTCTGAAAAGTACGTGGGCCACATTAGGTTTTATCAGGAGGAGGAATTGGTGTGAACCCCCAGCCCACTGAGAACACGAGGCACCAGGGAGGTGGTGTTACACGTGGATGGAATCGGACTTTGAAGATAGACCCATCTGGGCTAAACCTGTGGCTCCCCGGGGTGTCCGAGCAAGGCAGATTTCAACTAGTCACTGGGCTTCTCTCAACCCTGCTGGCCAGTAATCACAGGGCTGCTGTAAAGATTAAGTAGCCTGACATGTGGCAAGCACTTGATAAATACTGTCATGTCAGGAGGTTTGCTTATTGATTTTTACCTTGAGATTGAACACCTTTCTTTTTGAGAATCTTGCTCTAATTTTTAAAACAGTAGTTTCTAATGTAATCTCTTCCCATTTACACACGAACTTCTTTAAGGCATTCTACGACAAGTGTGGTGGGACACTTGGTAATTTGTCTTGACCTTGCTGGGTTGTAAGTAGCTAGGCAAAGGGGTTCTGGAATATTCTCTAGGATAGAGGTTCTTAAACCGGGGTGGGTGTAGAGGGGCTCCCTAAGAATCCCACTACTCTTGTATGTCACATTTTGAGAGAAGGTGTGAGTTCTGGGGAGAGGAAAAGATTTACACTTTTTGTCAGGAGTCTGCCTCTCAGAACTAATTGCTCTAGGGCAGGGGTCAGCAGACTTCTTCTGTAAAGGCCCAGTAGTAAATGTGCTGTTTTGCAGGCCATACCATCTCTGTTGCAGCTATTCTACTCTGCTATCGTGGCACGAATGTGACCACATAGACAGTGGATAAGTGATGAGTGTGGCTGAATTTGTCCCTAGGATTTTATTTGCTGAACCCTGCTATAGGCCTGGCTGTCTATAAGTGTCAGCTTGGTGTTGGAAAGGTTCACCTAGAGGTGGAGCTTTTTTTTTTTTTTTTAGAGGGAGAATGCTCTGATGGATAGAGGTGGAACTTTTGAGGCCACTGAAGCTTGTCTGTTCTGAGGGGAATGTAAAGCTATATCCAGTACAGTAGCCACTAGTCACATGTGACTATTTTAAATTTAAATTAATTAAAGGCAAATAAATTTTAAAATTCAGTTCCTCGGTCACATTAGTCTCATTTCAGGTGCTGAATAGCCACACGTGGTTAGTGGCTACCATATTAGACAGCATAGATAGACAACATTTCATCTTCATGGAAAGTTCTATCTGACAGCACTGACTGAGAGTCCCATAGTCTGCTTCCCTCTCTGTTCCCACCACTGGGCAGAGAGTTCTGGAACGGCAGCCTCTCTCTGAATCGTGGGAGGGGCAGGCTGAGGAAAGAGGCCCTCCTCTCAGTGTCAGGCGGGCTCCCCCCCCACTGCTTGCTGGCTTAACTTGCCTTTTCCATCTGCCATCAGCCCTGAAGGACGACAGCTGGACATAAAGAAGTCAAGCTACAGAAAGGTAAGCAGACACCTTCTCTGCATCCCACACACAGAGTTGTGTAGGGGCACACGTGACATGAGCCAGAGGGACACTGGGGAAGCCCTGTCTAGAGGGCTCAAACTGAAGAATTAAGTGTTTTGATTCCAGGTGTAAGGGGGAAAAAAGAAACTCTTCCTGAGTCGCAGCTGTTGGTGGCAGCCACTCCCCTTTCCCCTTTGACCCCTTTATGTCTGATTAGAGTTCTAAGAGTCTTCACCAGTTAGTCTCTAGCAGCTTCTTGCTACCTGACCCTCAGGGTGGGGGCCTTGCAGTTCCTAGATTGATGAGGGCAGGGACTGTCCCACTTCCCTGCACAGTTCCTGCCTGGCTTGGTCTGGCATATCCTAGGTGCGCAGTATGTGTGTGGAACCAATGAAGTCCCCTACCACTAGCCCTCTCTCCCTTAGCTCTCTAAGTTCCTGCAGCAAATGCAGCAGGAGCAGATTATACAGGTGAAGGAGCTGAGCAAAGGGGTGGAGAGCATTGTGGCTGTGGACTGGAAACACCCGAGGTGAGTGCAGGGGGCCTGGTCACTAGAGTCCAGCCGACCCCAGGGCACCTGGGCCCCGGACTGGGGATTGCAAGACACTAGTATAAAATGTGTTCTTTTCTTTCCTTCTGCTGGGTTTTAGGATCACCTCTTTCGTCATGCCCGAGCCCTCCCCGACCTCCCAGACTATCCAGGAGGGTAGCAGGGAACAGCCCTATCACCCTCCAGATATAAAATCCCTCTACTGTGTCCCAGCCAGCATGACCCTGCTCTTCCAGGAGTCTGGCCACAAGTGAGTTTTTGGAGAGCAGCCCTTCTCTGCCTGCTTGGTGTTCTGGCCTGCAGTTCTCTCAACCTAAGTAGTGTTCTTCTGTGACTGGCAAACCTGCTCTGCCACGTTCTCCCTTTCTCCCAAATCCAGCTTCAAACCTCTTTCCCCGGAAGTTTCTCTGGACCAAGCGATCGAGAGAGTAGGTCTCTCCCTTTTCCACCTGTGATTATTCTTCACACAGTCATGCTCACCTCGGTCAGGAAAAGGGAAGAAAATAGAGGCAAAAGCTGAGGAGAGCTTCCTGCTCAGCCCGGAGTGAGGCTGAGGATGTGCAGCGTGCCCCCTGGCGCAGCGTGAGCTAACCCCCTGGTCCCTCCTCACCTAGGAAGGGCAGCGTGCTGGAGGGCAGCGAGGTCCGAACCGTCGTCATTAACTACGCCAAGAAGAATGACCTGGTGGATGCAGACAACAAAAAGTGAGTGGATGACGAGCAGAGCTAGCTCTGTCTTAGTGGGTATTCATCTTTAGCAGACGTGGACACATTTGGGGAGGGTGTCTGGAACCGGGTGTAGAAAATCACAGCATCTTAGAAGTAATCAAGACGGTTGGTTTCCAAACCATGGGCTGTGGACACCCAGAGTTAGTGCCTGGGGTGTTCAGATCTATATATGCTGTCAACACTGATGTAGACGGAGCAATTATCTCACTTATACCTGCACCCGTGATCTTCAAGGGACGATTGTGGGGAATAAATGCACACATTAAAAAAAAGTTTACTGAAGTCATCATGGCTTTTTGGTATTCTTTTTTTTTTTTATTGATACATGATATTTGTACATATTTATGGGGCACATGTGATATTTTGTTACATGTATAAAATGTGTAATGATCAAGTGAGGGTATTTTGGGTATCCATCAACTCTAGCATTTGTCATTTCTGTGTGTTGGGAACATTTCAAGTCCTCTCTTTTAGCTGTTTTGAAATATACAATACATTGTTATTAACTATAGTCACCCTACTCTGAACTGAACTGATTGCTTCTATCTAACTGTATGTTTGCATCCATTGTGGTATTATTTTCTTAATAAGTGGATACTGGTGGTAAACTACCAGATGAAGAGAGTTCGATGAATTATTTTTACTTTAAAAAGACAGCACCGTGATCAAAAAGTAGGGGCCTACCAGCCTAATTTAATGCCCGCATTTTCAAGATCCCCACTTCCTGTGTTTCACCCCTGCTAGCCTACTATGAAACTAAGCCCAGAGAGCTGCAATCACAGGGTCAGTTAGCAGAGCTAAACAAAGAATTCTGGTCTTCGGATTTATCTCACCCCACTTTCCCTTCCACCACCCGCTTCTCCTCCTGGGAAAGCACACTTGTACCTCCCATCCACAGGGTACGTTGCTTGTCAGACTATGGTCCCATAATTGATTGTATCCTGGATGACCATAAGGACATACAAGACATGAATCCTGAGTTGCCCCTTGGGTCTGGGATTTCCTTACTGCCTCTTCTTTCCCTTCAGTCTTGTAAAGTTGGATCCCATCCTATGTGACTGCCTCTTAGAGAAAAATGAACAGCACACAGTCATGAAGCTTCCATGGGACAGTCTCCTGAGCAGGTAACAGGCATTAGCAGTCCCTCTCAACTTTTCTGTCCCCTGCCCTTAATATCTCTGTCACATTGAATTTTAATAATGTCACTATGTTAGTCTCTGACTTTCTTTCTGTAATTCATACCATGTCAGTCTACATAAACATAGGCTTGAGTAATTCTGATGTGGAGTCTCTAGAACAATTTGAGCCAACACAATATAGAAGAACTTGAGAGGAAGAAAGAAAAGGAATATTAATTAAAAATAAGAATACCAATAAGATTTAGAAGCAAAGGAAGTTTGGGAGGAATTGTCTTAAAAAGTCTTCAAAGGAAAGATTCTTAATACTCCTTGTTTTCCACAGAACCATACCTAAAAATAGTTTAATAAGGATTCAGCAAAGTACTGCCATTGCCTGCCACCTGTTTTTGTAAATAAAATTTTATGGAACAGAGCCACATCCATTTATGTGTTGTCTGTGAGCTGCTTTTCTGCTATAATGGGAGAATGAGTAGTTGTAACAGAGACCAGATGGCCCACAAAACCTAAAATATTTATTGTCTAGCCCTTCATAGAAAAAGTTTATCTATCCTGTTATATGTAATAGCAAGAGAAAATTTGGTTAGATAAAAGGTAGAAATTCCTTGTGGGTAAAGGTATTCTGTAAAACATGTCAGAAATGTGAAGCGACACTTGCAGGCAACAGGCTGGATAAGGTACATTCTTAAGACAGGAAGTCACCTCCACAGAGTGGACTGGGCAGGTTCTCAGGCAGCCAGGCCAGTGGACAGGTTCCAGGAGCTCAAGTCACTGATGTTCCCTTTCCAGAATCAGTGGGTCTCGACCTTGGCTGCACTTTGGGGAGCCTTAAAAAGTGTGTCTGGTCAAGGATACTGATTTAATTGGTCTGGGGTGCAGCACCCCAGGTGATTTTGAATGATTCTAACGTATAGCCAAGGTTTCAAACCCCTGCCCTGCAAGATTTTGACTTACATTCAACTGCCTGCTGGTAGTGGAGTATGAGGAAATGGTTTCTGTTGGCTTTATCAGCGTACGACTCATAACTCCCATTTCAGATGTTTGGAAAAATTACAGCCTGCCTATCAAGTGACCTTTCCCGGACAAGAGCCCATTGTGAAGAAAGGGAAAATCTGTCCAATTGACATCACCTTAGCACAGAGAGCTTCTAATAAAAAGGTAATTTTCAAAAGATACAATGTTTGAGGATGGCGATTTAATGTCCTTGCCAAGTTCTGGTCTCCCTAATGTGATTGGGGTTTTTAGATTGGTCTCGCACACCTCAAAGGTTGTTTATGAAACACCCGTGTTTGTGGGCTCTGTAAGAAACAGGTAAAGCTGGCCCCCTCACTCGCTGCCCTCTAGGATTTTGTGCTGGGAAACTTGCTAGAGCCTGGTTCCTAAAGTAAACAGGATTTTACTTTTATTTTTTTCTTGGAACTATGTTATGAGCTTTCAGCTCTTACACATCCTTTTAACTCTTGGGCCTTGCTCAATGAAACTAGCTTGTAAACAACTGCTAAAAGAACTGTTTAGCTCGACAACACAAAGTTGTAGGGAACCAATTATATTTGCCCTCAAATATGTGGAACGCTGTCCTCTGGAAAAGGAGTGCAGAAACAGGATTCGTGGGAAATCCCAAGAAGACAGACTTGAGTTCAAAATAAGGAACTTTCTAGTAGTGTATGGTTATGGGCATGGGCTTTGGACTTAGACCTGGGTTCAAATGCAGCCTTTGCCTCACTCCTTCACTCCTTGACCTCGAGCATGCTACTTAATCTCTTTTTATCTGAGTTTCATTGTATGAGAAATGGGCCTAATACCTACTTTGAGGATCAAATGAAGGAATATATATGAGTGAAGCACTTAGAATAACACTTGGCATATCAGCATTCAATAAATGAGAAACATATTGATAAATTTAATAATAATTAGCAATAACCACTATTTATTGAATGTTTAATTATGTGTCAGATACCATACTAAGCAATTTTTATGTGTATTAATTTATTTAAACACTAATTCTCTATTAATAGTATAATAATTAGAGTTGTCCCAAATTGAAATTGGTGTTTTTCCATAAACTGTTTTGGCATAAAAAAAAGGAAAAAAAAAAGAAATTGGTATTTAATGAAATAGTGAGTTATTTTCTGGAGGTCTGCAAGCAAAGATTAGGTGACCACTTTCAAGTGGAAGATGTAATCGTGGGTTCGTGTATCAGTGGGTTGGAATAGAGGTGACCTCTAATGTCTTACTGATTCTCAGATTCTCTGGGTCTGGAGTCCCTTGACAAGCTTAAAGCCATTTGGAACTTTTATAGACTTTATTGATAGCAGTCGTTCCCACCCACCCTGACAGTAACACACTTTACCATCTATAGTCATGAATAAGAGAGATCTTGTTTAAAGCAACAAAGAGAGAATCATGATTTTTAAAAAGCATTAATGTTTTTCTTTTTTATCTCAAAGTCAATTACTTATCATTTGCAAAGTTGATGAATAATAGGAAAATGTATATCTTGCTGACTAGATACTTGATATTAAGGAATTATTGGTAATATATTTTTAGGTGTGATGATGGTTTTATTTTAATGTTAAAAAAGATGTAAAAGCCTTATCTTTTGGATATGCGTACTGAAATATTTACAGATGAAATGATCTGATATCTAGGAGGATTTACTTTAAAGTAATACAGGAGTCAGGAGTAGGTGGGGATATAGATGAATCAAGGTTAGCCATGAGTTGATAATTGTTGAAACTGGTGATAGGTATGTGAGGTTCATTATATTATTCTACTTGTGTTTATAACTTCTCCATAATATAAAACATTTTCAAAAAGCATGCGTTGTATGTAGGATACAGATTATCCTACTAAATATATAACACATATATAGGATGGGGTAAGATCAACTTAGAAGCACAAAAATAATTTACTGGATAAAAAGGTTCCTCAGTTACAGGGATGGTGACCTATCAGAGAATGCAGGGGGTGGCTCCAGAAGCGTGCATTTGCGTCGCCACCACCACTGGTCTTCTTTCCCCACTGTCCCTCCAGGTGACCGTGGTCCGGAACTTGGAGACCTATGGTCTGGACCCATGCTCAGTGGCTGCCATCCTCCAGCAGCGATGCCAGGCCAGCACCACCGTCACTCCTGCCTCCGGGGCCAAGGACAGCCTGCAGGTGCAGATCCAGGGAAACCAGATCCACCACCTCAGCTGGCTGTTGCTCGGTGAGCATCCTCTGAAGAGCAGAGGCCTCGGTCTAGCGTGGCAGAGACCTTCCTGCTGACTCAGCTCGGTCTAGGGTCTAGTTATCATAATACCTACACACGCGCGCGCGCACACACACACACACACACACACACAGCAAAAGGTGGAGCCAGTGTTTGAACCAGATCTTTGGCCCCTTTCAAATTCAATGTTCTCTCCACCATACTATTAGAGTAGTTTTCTTTCTGTTCTTCTCTTTTTATAAAACAGTTGTTGAGCACCCAATCTCTGCCGGATACTTTGCTGGGCTTGTCGCAGGCATCGCTACTAATCGTAATGATGTTGCAGAACTGTGAGCTATTTTGCAGATGAGGAAACTGAGGTTCCAGAGAGGTTTGGTGCCCTGCCCTGAGATCAGCTGACTCTTGAGTGCTTCAGCTCGGCTTGGAATCTTTTTAGACTCCAGAGCCCAAGGTCTTTCTGCTAACTCTGGGCCACCTAGCTTCCAGTTTGTCCTTAGTGCAAATCAGCTTCCACATCTCTGTCTGATCAGCTTTCTTAGACAAATGTGATCATATCACTCCCCTCTAAAACACTTTTCTTTTCTTTTTTAAAAAATTTAAAAAGTTTTTTTAAAGGACACAGTGACTGGAATCTAATAAACTTTGTATACCTCTTCTGTGCTTTCAGAATAAACTCCTAAGCTAGTAAACGAGACCCTCCCAGCCTGAGCGCATTTTTCCTGCCGTCTGTCTGGCAGCTCGGCACCCCCATGCCAGGCATCGCTGTATGCTTGCTGTCCCCAAATACACATGCTATTTCCTCACTTGTACACTTTCACCTGGGCTGTCCTCTCGCCTAATGTACCTTCCCGCAACCTGAATCTGCCTCACCCGCAAAAGCTCACGGGCCCAGCTCCAGGGTCGTGGGGAGCCTGTCCCAGAGCATGGCCTATTTCCCTAAATTAGCGTTTAAAAAATTGCTAACGTAGCACTTTCCCATCGTGTGTATATTTCTGGCTAGTATCTGCAGCTCGGCTAATTTTTTTCTATCTGAACCCCCTGCCAGACTGAGCTTCTCGAGGCAGAAACCTCCCCTGTTCATCCTCAGGGCCTGGCACACAGTAAATGCCCAATAAGCAAATTCACGTCACGGCCTATGGCAGTACCCAGCAGCTAACTTCTAGAGTGGGGTTCCTTTATGTGAAGAACCCCATGTGAGGTGCTGAGAAGAAATATAGAGGAAAATAGATGAATGCACGATTCAACACAGACACATATATTCTCTCTCATGAGAAAATTATAAATGCCCGAAGCACACCTAGAAAGCAGCTAATCAGTGCGAAGATTACTGAAACAAACACTTGAGCCTTGAGGTACAGGGACAGATGGTCCATCCAGAAGGCCTCCCTGGGAAGCTGGGTCTGAGCTGGGTGTGGAAGAGCAGATCACATGACGGGAGTTCTTGATGGCAGGAATGAGCCCTGTGTGGGGCTGAGGGGGCCGGGGGTCAGCTGTGGCCATGGGGTCGGGGCCCAGGAGTGACACGGTGAGCCGAAGGGGAAGCGTGGGGGGCCAGCGGGGGAGCAAGGTCATGCCCCACTGAGGAGTGTCTGCTTTTTGGATTGTAGAAGAATATCAGATCCCTCGAAAATACATCCAAGGCCTAGAAAAGGCCCCCAAACCTGGCAAGAAGAAGTGACAGACTCTTTGTTTCATGCGCTGATCCAGTGGAAATCCAAGCTCTTGGGGTGGTAATTTTTATGAACATTTTCAGCTTTTGCAAATACAAAATATAATTCTTTACCCAAATAAATTTTTATTCTAATCTAAATATGATTTCCCTCTTGTTTCCTCCACTTAGCTAAAATGTTATACTAACTTTTAAAGCCAGAAGCATTTTAAATCGACAGAAGAGGCTGCAGTGGTGAGCCTTTTCCAGTGACTCGGTTTCAGTGGTTTAGTTCCTACCCTGTTTTCAAGGCAGGACGGACCATTCAAAAGTTCAGGCAGGTGTCCTTCCTGTTTTTAAAGCCCCGCTACCAAATATTCCACAGCCTCTTGCTCATCTGTTCCTACTACCTAATTAACCTCCTAGCCCCAAAATAGTCCCTTCACATCTCTAAAGAGTTAGTCATATAGAAACCAGTACCCAGCTGTTCTCTATCATCAGTCAAGGCAACAGAAGAAAGAATCGATCCCAAATTGCAGCAGACTTTAGGCCAGCCAGAAGTAAGAAACAATAAAAGCACATGAGGACATGGGTTTCTACAGGACAGTGATTCCTCCCCAACTTCAGCACACTGCCACCGGCTGGTAAATGTGTGATACCCCTCCAACGCGGTGGCTTTGTTACAGTGAAGACTTGCACCCAACCAATGCCCTCTTCAGCCCCAACTTCTTAACCTGGGCTCATGGAAGTGGTCGTTAGTTTGTCTTCAGAGGGTCCAACTCCCGGAAATGGTGCACAAGATTTTGTATGATCGTTTTCCCGACAGAGGGGCGGTGCTTTTTATCAAATTCCCAAAGAGATCACTTGAGGCCAAAGAGATTCAGAACCGTTGCTCTGGTCCCTGCTCAGCTCATGGAAGTCTTTTCTGTGAGCAGACCTATCCTTGTACAACAGGAAGGAGGCAGAGCTGGGCTAAATTCCTTAAGAGTTCTTGGGTTTTACCATTAAGAAACAATTATACTTCAACTGACTTCCTTTTTCTTTCTCATCTTACTTTTTTAAAAATTTGAGATAAGAAAGGCTTGAAAATATCCATAATATCCACAGATTACCCATATGAGGCTTGAAAAGGAAGAAAGGATGGGTGTGAAGATGAGTGTGGGATGCCTCTCACCTTTGTTATCAGGCCCAGAATAGGCCTCTTCCCTTGTAAGTAAGCTCCTTAATCTCACTAATCCCGTCTCTACTGGTATGAACGTATGGAACTGTGGAAGGGCTTTCTGGAAATTGACCCCAAACAGGATCCTATTACAACAAAGCCTTTAGCCAGCCAGTCTGATCTCAGGGAGCATGAAATGTATAGTAGTAATGAACTATGGTCCTTATATGGATACAAATAACATGTAGTACTGTGCAAAATTCTTTCCCAAACACGATGCTTTGCACAATCTTGGAGGGATCAGAGGCGCAGAGATGTTATGTCTTGCCTTGTTAATCCCCTGCTAAAGACACAAAGCCAGTAAGTGGTAGGGCTGGTTCTAAATTGAACGTCTACGCTTAACTGTGGTTTGACCCAGAATTCTGCCGTGACACAGTGCTGTCAAGACCTGTGCTGTGAATGGTTTTTCCAGTAATGGTGACACACTTGCATGAGTCATCTTCCTTCTCCCCTGTACGAACAGCATAGGGACATGTACGAAGGTAGAATAGAGTTGGACTGTGTAATAGGTTCTTTTTTTCTAGGTGCTGAGCCAAATAATCTAGATCAAGGTCAAACGTACAACTTTGAATTTATTAACCCCATGCTACAACCAAATGAGTTTCAGTGAAAAGCAGAAACTGGATCATTTCTAGCTTGGGCAAAAATCACTGAAGGATACTCTTCTTGGAGGTGTAGGTGAACAGCTGTTACAGATGTGCCCCATTCTTGGGTAATTTTAAGAATGTCTGCTGGACATTCATTCTTTCTTTTGGACCCTATTCATTGCATTCTATGTGATCAATACTGGAAGGCAGGTAAGAATTTATTTTTAATAACTTTTATGTGATTTTTTTTTCTTCTGTGATTACTGCGATGTTCCTTTGATGGAAGTGAGAGCATGCTAAAGTGAAAAGGCCATTTTGATCATCTAATCTAGTCTTCTCTCTCCAGGTGAAATGATCTTAAACTTTCAAAGACACATTCCTATCTATCTTTTGTTTTTCTCTAAAGAGTCAGGGTCTCGCTCTGTCACCCAGGCTGGAGCGTGGTGGTACCATCACAGCTCACCGCAGTCTCGAACTCCTAGCCTCAAGTGATCCTTCTGCTTCAGCCTCCTGAGTAGCTAGGACTGTAGGTGTGCACCATCACACGTGGCTAATTTTTTAATTTTCGTAGAGATTTGACTAGTCTCAAACTCCTGGCCTCAAACAAGCCTCCCAAAGTGCTGGGATTATAGGTATGAGCCACTGTGCCCGGCCCTATTTTATTCTTAAATAGTTCCAGAAATAGAAAAATCATTGCTCACCTCAGTAGCCTGTCCTGGTGTTCAATCACCCTTAGCTCCAGAAAGCTCTCCTCTTTTTCTAAGTCAGTATCTCCTTCTGTACTAAGTCCCTTTGACTCTCCCCAGCTCCGTGGAGACAACAGAATGGCCGGTCACCAAGGCAGTGCCTTCCAGCACGTAACATTTGGACAATTTTCTCCAAATTATTTGAACAGTAGCTTTTATTCCTCTGCACACTGGCAAAAAAGAAAATCTGAATCTGCCAAGTAATATGGGATTGTCTCTGTTCCCCTTCCAACTCCCGATTTCCGTAAGATGGTGAAGTTCAAGGAAGACGTTTCCAATACGAATCATTTTTGCAACAAGCTTTTATTACTTTTTTTTAAAACCCATATAAGAAAGACATTTAAAAAGAAAATATCCTCAAAACAAACACTGACACGCTGAGCAACACAACCATAGAAGGCACTACCAGCAGTTACACCCACCTCTGGGAGGGAAGGGTACGCTATAATATACGTTTTTTCAGAGGCTTAGACCTCAGCATAGGTCCTGGGTCTAACTGTGCTTTAGATAAAGTCTGAATTCATAAACACCCTTCTCTCTTTATATATACCATATGCCTTTATGTGTGTATATATATATATATATATATATATATATACATGATTTTTTTTCCTTCTCAAAAATAAAATAGCCATCCCCTTGGAGGGAGGTTCTCAGCAGCATTCACAGCAGTTGCAGCAGGAGCCATGCCTTCTATCAACGTTAGAGACATGCAGGACGAGGGGAAATGACTCTACCTGCTCCCTTTAATATACAGCAGGGAGAGAGATTTTTTTAAGGGAGGGAAGTGATAAGGCTGAGCGTGGGATGGTAGATAACCAGGGTTTTTGTGGCTTAAAAAAATCTTAAGAGTTGCGAGCTTATGTTACTTTTGCAGCTCTGAAGACTGCACACAGTTCCTGTGACAAGGGGTCAGCATTCCTTCTGGGATCAGGGCAGTGTGGACTCAGCCCGGGTCAGGGCGGGAACTTCTGAGGCTACATGAAGAAGCAGCGTGGGCTTGAACCAGCCCGGGAGAGACTGGCAGAGGACAACAAAGAAATGGTTTCTCAGAGGCTGGATTGGAAAACCCACCCTGCTTTGAATGACGATTGCAAGTCCTTCTCCCTCTGCATCGGAGCGTCTTTGCAGTCGCGGCTACTCGCTGGCATTGTGCGACTCATTTATTTTAGGGTTCAGCCTGAACGAGAAGCCAGTGCACATGTACAGTCAGGAATCTGAGCCTCCCTGTCAACGTGGTCTCATGTCACTTCTTGGAAGTCAAAACTCAGGCACCCAGATGGGAAGGAGGCCTGTGACCCTCACCCGCTACTCAGAGTGAGGGCCCTGCAGGGCTCGCCTCCCACACCACCCTCGTCCACTTCCTGGTACGAGTGGGCCGGCAGCAGAGCTTCATGCACACACGCCTGCGTGCTCCTATCTCTCTCTGAAAACAAAAAGGCACTGAGGTCAGCGGGGAGGCCAGGCCCAGGGGCTCACCGGGCGAGCGCTGGGCCGGCCCAAGCTTCGGAACAGAAAGGACTCCGAGTTGGCCGAGCTGGAGGTTCCCCCTCTGTAGTCAAGGCAACTCCTTAGGCAGCACCTGGAGATCCCAGCGTCCCCACGGGAGGAGGGAGGCAGTGCTGGAGGCCAAGGGCAAAAGGAGGCAGCCCAGGCCCTCCTCTGTTCGCTAGCTGGGGGAATGGTGAAGACGGCTTCCAGGAGGTTCTCTGCATCGCTTTTGGGCTTTCTCTTACTGCCTGATTTCCCTACTCAGCAGGAGACTTTTAAAATGATAAACAGCTGGTTTCCCTTTGGCGGAAACACATGAGGGTTATGGCAATATTAAACTCAAATTTGTAACTTATAAAGAAATAATTGTCGACAAAGACGTGACTACTAAGTACCACACGTACGCAGAGATATATGCCTTTGGGTTTACATGTGCACCGTCTCTTGGGCAGTGAGGGCCAGGGCCAGGGCAGGCTGCAGCTTCTCTGGAAATCTCCGAGCCAGTCGTAGCTTTGGTGCTCCTAACCCTGAGCCCTGGGCCAGTGGCTCTGTGAACTTCCCTTATGCATGAACAGCGGGCACCTTGGGGCAGTGGGGACAGTCCTTTGATGAGCATCTCCCTGCTTTCAGGGTCTCAGCTCAGACCTGCTAAGGGAATGTGCTACAACTTTTCACTCATAAATAAAGGTACTGTAAGTGGCAAATACGGACATTGAAGAAGAATCAAAGCCAGAGAAAGAACACGTAGCTCTAAAACCTTCCTTCCTTCCTTTGCCGGCTGGCGTGGTAGGTTCCAGTCTGGTGACGAGAGAGGCAACGATTTGGTTTGCAAAAGGCTTGCAGAGTGAGAGAGGACAACGGCTGTTTGT